CAATGAAAGAATTACCTGAATCTTCATCAAAATTTAACGCCAAGTTACATATTTGATTCAATTAATTTAGTTTCTAAGGAAAAACTAATTAACTGAAAATACTATGGAAATTGAAATTTCTCTCGGTTGTATTAAAGCTCCTCCCTCCCTTTTTCTCTCCCATTTTCTCTCTCTCTCTTTCACGTATAAATGAGAAAAATTAAGAGTTAATTTTGCTTTACCTTAGACCGCAAGCTTTGTGAATCTGTACCAACTCATTACGAGACACTGAACGCTGTCAGGAGTTTTGTCCGCGCGTGCGCGTGTGCGATGGAGGAAAAAAGAATCTGTCAAAGGAACGTTTCTCAGATTAGCGTTTGAGATTCGCTTTTGTCTCACGGCGCTTTTCAGTGGAGCTTAATTAATTTTTTGTTCGCTCGTCGCGGCTCAACTCAATTAATTAGTCGACTCTATGAAATCGATCTTTTTTAGCAAATTTTTAAGGAGTTAGTCTATACAAGTTATATCCGTGCTACCGGAAGTGGTATTAATAAATCCTGATTTATTACGTGGAACATCCTGGAGAGATTCCTCCAAACTATATATTAAACCCATATAATATTAACTTTTGCGTCATCTTTTTGTTGCTTAATAAATTTATAATTTACGCAAAGATGATACTAAAGATAATGTTGCTTATCTTTTCTGGTTATACTGGGTTTTAAAAGGTTTAGTAGGTCATCGACAATTTCTGTTCTTTTATTTTCGTAATTTATTTCTTGACGTTACGTATATATCTAGTTACACAAAGACATTGAGTGCGAGCAAAGGAGAACTGCTTCTCATTTCCAAACAATGTACACAATTTAGCATATATTGCGATTATAATGAGAGCTGTTATCTTATTTCAAGAGCCGGACAAATAAAATGTTCAGCACAAAACGAGTCGGTAAATATATCGTGAATATTTACACACTACAGTCTTTCTCCATTATACATTCTTGTTTCGGAGATATTGTGATGACCCTCTTGCGCGCTCGACCCTGACTAAAACAGTCGTTATCTCCGAATAAGATAAAAGAGTTAATTTTTATCTATCGGCCATTTTCTAATCCATGAAGTCGATCCCTCGCCGAGCGATATCTTAGGCGCCTGGACCGAATCCACGTTTCCGGGTGCTAGGAGAAATATAACCGCGGCAGCGTTCGCCGCGCGCCGCAAGAACTTTCCATGCAAATGTTTCGTGATCGATATCCACCGCCACCGACGCCGATCGCGGCACCTTTCTCCGCTCCGGCTTCCGCACGCACACCGCCCGCGCGCGGCCCTGCCGTTTCCCGTCACTTTTCCCGTTGTATGTTCTTCGAGCGGGTGTTTACCCCGGAGGAACAGCGGGAGCGTTTCGCCCGGCGCGGCGCCGCGTGGCGTACACAAATGCAAATTTCCGAATCAACAATTTAAAGCCGTCTACTCGTTTAATTAAGGGTTTCGGAATTTCTTCGGCCGTTAGAAACCTCGATTTATTTCCCTCGCGGAGATAAATAAGTACGAAAGCGAACTTTTGTTTCAAGTGCGCTCGGTGATAACGATGCGTCTTAAAGATTCTTCCGAATTCTTCTCAGTTTTTATAATTATACATATAAAATATCCATCATTTTTCTCTTATTTACATGCAGAGAGTCTCTGAAATATTAATATAAGAAAAGTAAGTAATTTTTTATGAAACAATAAGTATAAAATGTAAAATGTAGAATAAAATATTTTTTATGCACTTTGTTTTCGAGAAAAGTGGTTTTGAAAATCGCTTTTCTATTATACTTGAACAATTTCTAAGAGTCTTGGTGTCATGTATCGTCTCAGTTGTTAAGATACATACGAAAAGATACAACATTATACATTGAAAAAATGAAAATGATTTTAATTTTATAACTTTTTCAGTAACTTCTTAAATTATTTTTAATCTATACATATATAAAAACAAATGTCCTGACTGACTGATCGACTGACAGACTGACTGACTCATCAACGCCCAGCCCAAACCCCTAAACCTAGAAATATGAAATTCGGGGAGTATATTCCTTCCATGACGTAAGCACCCACTAACAAGAAGCATGCACCCACTAATTTTTAGAAATTCGATCCGTAAGGTAGTGAAAAGGAGTAAAATGTGTTATCGTAGCGAAGCACGAGTATCAAGCTAGTATAATATAATATAAAATAAATAAAATATAATTTATATATTTTAATAACCGTCGAGATAAATTCGATATAAATCGTTCAAGTTTGATAAAGCAGGAATACGTTATTAATTTTCCAATTTTTTAAATTTTATTTTTCTTGAAAATAAATACAAGAAAGTTGCAAATTTTATCCTATATTCTTTTAATTTATGTACTTTTTCATGAGAAATCTTTCCTTTTCCGATTGTACCATCAGTACTAGAATATTATGTATATAGTATAAATATAATATTTCCGGTAGGTATATAATATTATGATATGACAAGGTAAATGTGTATTACGCGCCATTGATTTTTCTCGTTGCTATTATTATGCGCCATTGAATCCCCATCTATTGTACGCAACGTGTGCAACGTGTCTTACCACACCCATCAGTTTCGCGTGGAACTTAATTGTTTACTAGGCGCAGCATGTGCTTGACCAATATTTGCTTGACTGTCGCATGTAATCAGTACCTCGGCCTTCGGAAACATTTCCCGAGCTAAAAATAGTTGTTACATTAAATTTTTATTTTAATACGTGCCGCTCCATCGGTGATGGGTGGTACACGCCGAACTTTCCAGTCAGGCCAGTTGATATTTTGAATATAAGCAGGTACATTATTATTACATACATTATTTTGAGCACAAGTACATACAATATCATACAATATTTCGCAGTATTATTAATTCGTACATAATTAATATGTATAAAGCAGTTGTCACATCATGTACTATATCGGTGCAACGTGTTAATACAATATGTCTTTTTCATTGTCACAAAAAAATTCTTTAATTATACATATATATACTTTCTCTTATTCTTATTTTTAACACACTCTATACTTTCAACAAATCAATATTGTAAGATTCAGTATTATATACAACATTTTATACAGTAATATGTATATTCGTAAAAAAATTTTAAATTAAATTAATCGAATTCGCGTATAGAAGTATAGGAAATAGGTGTGGAGTAATTATATATTTACTGGCTCGTTCTCCGCTGATACATTTATCACCCTCTCGCGCACTGTGCCTATGTTGCATTATATCGAGATCTAAGTGTAATTCGTCGCGGCGTGTATAACGCGTTTTCGTTTAACGAGCCGACAAATGGGGCCCTTTGCAAAATGTCCCATCGCGTCGTCGTGAGAGAACAAAAAGCCTCTCTCTTCCCTGCCCTCTCATCCAACCCCGTAGCTGCCCTTGGCTGTGCGCGCGAGCCCCGCGGCCAACATCTGTTACCCTCTGTCGTTAATTGTTATTGCACGTACGACGGCGGTGCACGTTGCCCGCAGTGACGGCCATTAAACTTCCCCATTACATTATTGCCGAGTCGGTCGACGACGACGGTCGGTTCGAGGCTCCTTCTCGGTCGACGAAGAGCACTTTTAACGGCGCGAGCACTTACCTATAGGAGGCGACGATTTTCCCGGTGCTAAAAGCATGATTTACACACGCCGTGGCCGTCGGATTAAAAATGTGGCCGCGAGCGAGCGGTTACGCAAACCCCCATGACATCCGACACCCCTGCAATACCCTGCATGAATCGTCGCGCTGCGCCGTCGCTGCTAACGCTGCTCCTACAGAAATAGGTGACTGACTGCAGGCAGATGCTTTCGCGTGTATACATAAATGCCCGTTTAACCAAACGCGCGCGCGTTTATTTTTGGTCGCGCTTTGGCGGAGTGCGCGCCTTTATGACGACGTCTCTCTCGCTTTTTTTCTCTCAGCAGATTATTTCTTTCGCCACTATCGTTCTTACATTCGTATCGATCATTCGGCAAAGTATAAACCTATTACTATCCAGTGTTTGCTGTAGCTGATTTTAAAATAATCTGAGATGAAGATCCGTATCTTAGATGAGAAAGATGATTTTCTTTTAATTAATCTAGATGAGATAAAAATATGAGATAATTATCGCTGATTTTTATACAAATAATTTTAGGTTTATGAGACTAGGTATTCATAAAAATTTATAAAAAGAATTACGCAGATTATAATAAAAACAGTATTCATAATTTTATTTTGAGTTTTTATTTCTCAAAAATAACAGTTTTCCGAATGTTTTGTCTAAGCAGCTTCGGCGGGGTGCACTGATTTGCTGTGCTAAACTAAAAAGGCGCTTTACTGGGACTGACGATGACCAGGGATTATATTAAAAAAAAAAAAAACATTTTAAACGTTTGGAAAATTTATAAGAGATTGGAGTTTCTTCGATTTAGATTCCAAATACGAAAGTGCTTCGATGCCACTAATAATTGTTTACTTATTATTCCTTTTTTTTTAAACTTCTAATAGTAGCGGAAAGAAAGAAATTTGATCTGTTTTCGAGTGTAATGACATTCTTGCAGTATAAATAATCTACTTTTTTCAAAAATAGGTCTTTACACAACTTTATAGCGTTCATATAACGTTCTGGAATCTAATTTAATTTAGACGGCGGTAAAGAAATAGCAGAAAGAATGGAAATCTTACTATCTTAAATAATTTTTAGATAAGATGACGTGATTTTTCATCTAAGATGAAGATGAATATACTTTCTATTTTTTTATCTAGATAAGATATAATAAGGATGATCATCTATAAGATATTTAGATGCTGGTAAACACTGCGTACTATATTATAATGAATGAAGATGACATTAAATTAGTTTTGGCTTTTAGACACATTATTGATCCAGAAGAATACATCTTACGATCGTTATGCCTCTCAATTTCTAATAATAAATGCATAGATAACTTTGCCTGATATAACTTTGTAATAGATTTTTTTATTCGATTCTTTTTTTGCATTGCAGGACGATCTATTTGTGGATCAGGCATGGAACCTGTCACAACGATTGCGCGGTACAGTTAAGGTAAGTGATCTTTATATATTTTATAAGAGTGTTATGCGCTGCCGACTAATTAAATTAATGAATTTGTATCCTGCAATCAAGCTTAGTCGTGCGATTTCTCCAACTTTCGCGATCTCTTTTACGCGACGAGATTAGATAAAGTTGCCACTTATTGCTTGCTTAAATGTCAACAGGAGGTCGAGCCAGATAAGTGGCACCTACGCGCGTTACGATTCGCGCATACGTGTTAATTGCAGGTCATTGGGTCAAACTAATAGCCGGTATCCACCTCGCGCGTATCCACCTGTGCACCGTATTGCGCATCGAGAAACGATTTCCCAATGTGCTCTAGTTATAAAACCAGTGAACAGCGATGCTGCGAGCGTCGGCGGTTATTATTAGTTCTGAACTTGGCTAGGTTAAGAAAAGAAATTTAATATCGCATTATAAGAAAAAATACACAGAGAATATGATCGAGCTCAGACATATAGAAAAATCTAATCTCTTTTTTTCTCTTTTATTAACTTATTTGGCGCGCGCGCGCGCGCGTGTATGTCAGATGAATTATGTTAATAAAGAAGAAATGAAAGATATATATACAGTACATGTATATATACATATATATACAACATACATCTTTACTCTCTCTAAAACCGTTAATTATGATCATAAATTGGAAAAAAATATTGGCGTAAAAGTAAAATCACATTTTAATGTAATTTTATTTTCACGTCAATATTTTTTCGCAATTTATGATTATAAATAGCTGTTTTCTATATTATTTATAGAAAATGGCTGAACATGACGATAAATTGGGAAAATAAATATCGGCGTAGATTTTGAGAATGTAAAGTTATTTTAAGCGGGAGAACTATGGAGAGAGTATATAAGCGCAGAGAAAACAAATATCTTCAAAAATATATTACGAAGCTTAGGGTCAGAGATCACGATCTTCTCCCGGTCACTTCCGTCGATTAGATGCCAACTCTGGCGTAGAATAACGACGAACTAAGAACGTGAATTGTGGTAACGCGTAAGCGAAGCCGTTGAAAGAATTTCACGAGAGGAGTTTGCAATCATCTTCGATGCGCTATCGTACGAGAAAACAAATAATATATTTCATAACAGATAAGACGAACGATGCCGGTACTGTCCGCGATTCACGGAGAGCTCGGTATTTCCGCGCGTGGTAATTGCTTTTTTCTCTCGCGCTCTTTCTCTCCTTCCCTCGCCAGCGCGGCGCTTTCGACGTATCGTGGGAAAAATATATCGATCGCGGCTGGCGCGGATGCAATCGCGCGCGTCTGCAATACTGAGCGGTAACACGACCATCGCTTCTCGGAAGCGCCGCTGCCAGCTCGAAGAAATTTATTACGTTTCTCATTCTCTTGAACTAATGTGAAAAGTATAATCGTGTATACGAGACTGGACCGTCTCGTAAACAATATTTGTAATTTTTTGTGAATCATTCGATCTATCGCAGAGATAAATGACCGCTTAGAAATCTGGTCAATGCTCGGGATAAAATTTGGACAATAAATCTGAACCGAATTTTGCGTCGGAAGTCGCTGTCTCGGGTGTACCTATTTCTTTCGTGAGTCGTATATTACACCGCGACTCTCAGGTGAAAAGACTTAATGTACTTAGCCGCACACGGAAAGAGGAAAGTTTTGAGTAATATTCATGCGTTTTCCTCGAGAAAAGCTTATACCATACGTAATAATTTTTCTCACGAAAATGGCGCCCGGCTCACCCGCGAGTATACCTGTTTCGCGACAACAGCTCAGTCGCGCGTCCTTGATTTTCGAGATTATTAACTTTGGAGAAGTTGTTGCAAAAAATATTCTTACGCTCATTAAGTAGCTGAAAAAAAGAAAAAATCAGCGACCACACCTTTCTATTCTGATTTCACTTCATGCGATATCACACACACCGTAACCTTCTATAGACTTTCCATTATTTTGAAACGAAACACTCTACCATATATGTCTTGCATGCAGATTTACTTTTGAGGTGCATTGAAATGGGAATCTTCTGTAAATATTTCCATTTTCTAAGACATTTATATTCTATCTATGGGGAAGGGTCTTATAAAAAACGCACGTCGTTTTTACGGCGTACATGCATTTATAATACGAAAAGAATTCTGTATGTAACATCTGACATTTCGCGAGAATATTGATTCATGAAAAATATATTTGTTTATTACATGAATAACGCGATATACAGTGATAAATAAAAAAAGTCGCTATATGTATGTATCTATATATTTTTTGGTAAAAAATAAAGGATAAAAATATATACGTGTGTGTGTGTGTGTGTGTGTTGGCGAAACTAGAACCTATTTTTTTTTAATTACAAATTGATAACATGGGTATCACTTTATATAATTTCTAATACGTCGATTTTAATTATAAAAGTTTTAAAAATTACAAAAAGCATTGTAGCATAGCGTGAAAAGATTTGAAACTGATCGTACAAAGCGAGAAATTATTTATGATATTGCGCGACTTGTTTCCGTCATACTCATCTCAAATAAACATAAATTTTGAACAAAGACAAAAGGACATATATAACTATAACAGATCGTTTTCAAATAATAATAGATAGATATACAATATATATATATATAGGTAGATAACGTTTGGCCACATAGCAGTTGTGTGTGCAGCTTATTACATCACATTAGAAATATTTTCTAGTGCCTCTGCAAGACGGCGAAGGAGACAAATCGAGGATATATTATTTGACAAAAACTATCCGCGATCAAAATGAGTTATTAGTTTTCTCATATGCGTTGCGGCATCTCGGCAATATCAAAATGAAGAAAGTATTTGGAGCCTCTCCAAAATTCCGCCGTTCCGTCATCCGGCTCTTCGTCGGGCTGTATATACGGGCGAACGGCCGTAAATAGGTACACAAAACCGTAGAACGTCTTTCAGTCTCAGGAAAGGACAAAAAATATCAACTGTATAAAAATGGAAATATGATTTTTCATTACTTACTGAGAGTTTATCAATTGTATGATCCTCGAAACGCGGAAAATGACAGCTATTTTATACATCTCGCGAAACTATAGGGGAGATTACAACCTCTTGATAATGCTGTTGCTCGATGGCGAATCTGTAATATTTAAATCACCGACGAGATGAAAGCACTCACGTTTGGATAGCGCATAAGGGTTGCAAGTTGCAAGTGCAGCCTTCGGAATGCTTTCTATGCGGCGCACACATCGCTGCATCTCGGGGCTCAACCAGCCTAAAGCCTGATGCAGACGCGGGGAAAATAATAGACGGTCGTGCAAAAGAAATGAAATGTTCTTAATGAACGAGAACGCCGTGCGCGCGATCGCATTGAATGCGCGCGCGTGCCGTGTGTGTATGCGCTATGAAAAGCACTACATTTTCGACTACAGCGAGTGGAAACGTACAGGCTCTTTTTATCCGCGAATTGTACGCAGGGACGGCTAATAGAACGCACCTGCTGTGAGACGAAAGGTTGCGGATCGTGAAGGATCCTTCTTGCGGTTCAATAGCTACGGCTTCACCGGATGTTTTTTAAATTCGCTTCGAATTGCGAATAAGTGAACGATTTGTCCTTAAAAACAATTTTGCTGAGATGTAGCGTAATAAGATAATGGACATCATTCTGAATACTCCTCGTAGATTTTTTTTTCATAGAATTGGATATAAAAGTCTACATGTTACAAATTGATGATAATAAATTAGAAAATGCTATAATGGAAACAATGCTGCCAGATTACACTTTTATTGAGTAAATATTTAATTTTATTTTTATACATTTTATTACATTGCATATGTTAACTTATGCATGTAATATATATTTTTAATATGTTTCTTGCTCTACTCGTTATACGCTCTCTGTGCTATATAGAAATATATATAGATATTCTATGTATTATTTTTGTTTAAATTAATATCGCTCATGCAATTAAGCCAAGCTAAACGGCCCAGTTGTGTATACATACATCGCGAAATCGAAAGTTATCCCTTGTGCAATGTTTATTAAAATTCTCAATTGTGACGTTATCGCTTATTGTTCATCCGTTGCTCGCGCGAGGAATAAGACTTACAATAGAGCATATTCGACCGTTTCCGGATGCGCGGTGGCAGGAGTTTCATCTTTTCGTCGATGCATCCAGGCGTTATCGAGCGCGCGAGTTATGAGCGTGTATGCAATCTGACATAAAAGTACTCCGACGTAATGCCGCCTTCGCGGGAGCGCGGGAATAACGCGCCGGGTCGGAAAGAGAACCGTAACACGTAACATCGTAACAGCGCATTGCAACGAGCAAAACGGCGCGACGCGGATGTTGCACCGCCGCGCCGTCCATGAAACCCCGCGCCACGTGCGAGCCAGCTTCGAGTAACAGCCGAGCGAAAGAAGATGTGGGAACATCGTGTCCTCTATTCCCGCGCGCTCGCAAAACGTACGACGCTCCTCGGGGATAAACGTTGTATCCTGCCCCCCGCTTCGTGTCCTCTCTTCTCTTCATAATTCTCGGAAGAATGCTTGTTTCCCCGGGAGTTTACGGTGCACCTATAAATTCCCGAGCGAGCTTCAACGAACGAACCCGGCACGCGTTAAGACGAGGAAGAGTCGGGGCTTATAACATAGGGCCGTCGCTGTCGGCCTTCGGTTCAAGTGCGCTGCGTATATATATATATATATATATATATATATATATATATATATATATATTTTTTTATATATTTAGTGTTTCTCGAAAGGATTCAGCCTTGAACTGGATCACCGAGGTCGCCGCGCTACGCCTGCTGGACGCTCCGCATAGGCACGGGCGGAATCGTGAATCGTGGTCCGTATCGCGTCTTATCCCGGTGATAGAAACGTGAGATGTATTTTACTGAATTTACTGCGGGCTATTTGGAGCGTTTGAGCAATAGAAGCATTCTCGGAACGGCACCTTGCATTCATCAGTGATTAATCATTAGGTATACATATTCGATGATTAATCGTTGTACGTTAAAGAAAAAATGAAT